GCTGGGCTGGGCTGGGCTGAACTGGGCTCGGCTGGCAGGCTGAGCAGAGCGGTAGGGTTGTGGGGTTGATACGGGCCAATCATGCAAGTCCCAACACAGAGAGCGCTTGAAACCATGTTTTCTCACGACGCGATGCGTGATCCTGCTGTGTAGTGATGTTCCGGCTTCGATGCCGGAGGTATTTACGGCTCCAAGCCTCCGAAGCGAAACCTCCTTGCGCCACTAGCCTCTTGTGATACGCGTAGCAATGTGGATGGGCGAAACGAGTAAAAGGACGCACTACCTGAAGAGGAGACGACACACAAGCTGTGAAAAATCACGGCACTGGGCATATCTGTCATTGTATTTTCTTATCGAACATTCTGTAACTATTCTGCGTTTACAGGTGTAGGGGTGTGCCGTGATAAAACATATTGATCCTCAGCATTTTGTTGCGGACGTGATCCCGGGCTACAAAATCCTGCGTTCAAAGTCCCATGGGTCGTGGGGGGATCCTCTTGAGGACACTGTGACAATCTCAGGTTGTCAGCTTCATGCTTGGTGCGGACCGCGTGTTGCACAAAACTGCAAATGAACAAGCCTTTATGTCAGGTGGTTTTGAGCAAGACGCACCCTTTGGAAGCGCTTCTGCCCGTGCTGCATGCGCTTGTGCCCTCAACCCATGGAGCAATCCGTCCAAGTAGCCCTTGTTACCTGTATTTACCAAGGAAAACCAGAAGCAGCGCGGAAAGCAGTTGACTCCCGAATTCAAACATGCAAATGTACGCATGTACTGCGGACTGCCCAGGAAATCCCCAACATTCCCCATGCCCCACATCCCCCACCTCAGTCATGGCGGCGGCTCCGCGCCATGCGGAGCTGCTGCACGATGACATCCGCCTGCCAAGATCAAACCAAAAACGAGAGTTACGCCAAAACCCTTTAAACCGCGGGACGCTGTCGCTGCCTGCCGAGGCCGCAGCAGGGATTGCTGTAGAACCACCTGTCCCCGCAGTTGCCCGAAACGCCCCAACCTCTGCTACACTCCGAAGTTGCCTCCAAATGTCCTCGCAAAGGGTCTGGAGGCTGAGGCGATGGTGCCGGTGGAGTGGGTGGTGGTGGAACCATCGGTGGCGGACCAGCTGGTGGGAGTGCGGAGTGTTGTGGTGTCGGGGGTGGGCGTGTGGGTAGCAGGGCGGAGCTTGGTGGCGTGGGTGGCGCAGCCGGTGCTCGCGGCTTGCGGGGGACCAGCTTCTCCCATGTGCCGGGGGTGGGGGAGGTGGCCAGTATGTACTTTAGGGGCTCCTCAATACGAAACCGAGCGCGACAACTTCAACAGCACCCAAACATTGCAGCAGCCGGCATTCAATTGAACTGCTACTCAGTTGAAAGCCAACCGCAACAACTTTAAGAATACCCAGCTCCCAGCTGCCAGTCAAGTGAGCGGCTCATAGCGGCTCCTCAACAATGTTCCTAGACCCATCCCAGCTGTGCAGCATCCGGCAGTCAAGTGAGCGGCTACTCAATTGAGGCCAAAGTCCCAGATCAGGTCATTTCAGGCCCAGATCAGGTCATTTCAGGCACCGGCTCATGATCCCCCCACTCGCCCAATAACGCCCTCCCACGCCTGCATTCACTTGTGCACTCCAACCACTCTCGTGACTTCGCTGGACTCCAATCATGTAGGAAGACTAATCGATGGAGAACACTTTCCCTGAGCGCGATGGTTCGAAGGGCTTCTTTTCCTTCCGCGAAAACTTTGTGCGTCACGATCTTGACGTTCTATTGCCCGAGGTTGTTGCTATCCAGTGACCCCGACGGCGCTACCCGCTAGTTGCCGCTAATGAACGACCACCTCAAGTCACTCAAATCGTTGCACTCACTGGCCCTGCTACATTGGATGCGCTTGTTGGTAGATGGATTCAGGTTTAGTGAGCCTGATGACGCAAGCTGCGGCCTCAGATCACTCAAATCCGTCCGTAGGTTATTCAAAGCTTTCCTTTGGCCACAGCCGGACCTGTTTGATAATAGTTTCTTGATCAATGAGCCTGATGACACATGATGCGTCCCCAAGTTCGTCAAAACCCTTCCGTGGGCTCCGCTGCATGAGACGAGCTCAGCGGTAAATAACTTCAGATTGTTGTTGATGGGCTTTGACGAGCGAACCTGATGACACAAGCTGCGTCCTTACGGCTGCTCTGCATGGGGGGAGCGGATTCCGTTGGCTCATGATGATGCGGGCTGCATCCTCAGGTCCAGGAACTGAGACATCTTCACGGTGAGTCATTGCAGGTTTTGTCAGGCTGCTCGAGCCGCATTGCACGAGCACGGGACTCCAAGCCCCACATGCATTTGAATCTGATTCAATGCTGCCCTGGCACAGCGATCGTCTGTAGGCCTCACCCATAGGCAATCGGACCAGAGTTTGCCCGAGAGACCAGCGCCCCAGGCGATAACGCAGCCATCGGCTCGGAGGGCAGCGAAGGCCGAGCGCGTGGCGACAAGGTCGACAACGTGCCACAAGAGGTCTTGCACGTGCTGGCTGCCGCCGCCCGTGCAAGTGTCACCTGGGGCACATGAAAATCGCAGGTCTCAGCATAACACAACAAAATACCTTGACCGAAACTCTCACGATGGTCTTTCACTCACCAGCCCGGTTGCCCCAAGTGGTCACGTTGCCACTTTGGTGCAGTGCCGCAAAGCTGCCCTGAGTGCCTGAAGGATGGCTCACATGGCGCATTACGGATTTGTGGGTTGCGTGGGATCCATGACTCACGTCATGGCGAGCTGCAGGCGATCTGCCGCACTTTGCGCAGGGACCCGGTTTGGCCATCTTCGCCACCCTCATCCCAGGCCACAACGCGACCATCATGCAGCCTGCCAGGGACATCCCGGAGCCCGTGCAGTAAAACAGGACTCGCAGAGGCAGAAAACATTCTTCCAGAGGCTGCCAACTTTAAAGTGCCACTGCACTCGGACAGATGACGATCCCAGACTTGTCCAGCTTCATGGGGCAACTCCCGCGAGCCAATGACTTTGGCATCATATGCAGATTTGGATGTTGGCGGTGGCCCAAGTCGAGGGCAGGTCATACAAGAAATTTCGCAGGTCGGGATTGCCGCTTGTGGCGAAAGCACATTGCAAGATTCCCTCCCGCTTCCAACCCCAGCGAGGCCCTCCAAAACTGGGACCTGCAGAAGCCAGCCACGGCAACTTCAAAGGTTTGCATCGCTGAATTGAAAGCCATCCCTGAACAACTTCAACTGCATTCCCAGCCCGATCCCAGCTCCATTCCAAACCCCAGCATGCCTGGCCACGAAGGCATTTTCGCCGGCGGCCACTGACGCCACATGGCCTGAACCCACGGCACCGTATTGTAAGTTCGTTCTGGGAAGCTCAGCCAGCCTTGTATGCGCTGCGGCACTGAAGCAGATGAGCCCCAGATAGTGACAGTACCATCAGCCAATTCCTTGACGAAGGCTCTCGGATTGACAACCCCCTAAACATGTCTCATCTTTCTGTTCACGGGAGACGGTTCTACTGGAATGTTGCAAGTTGTCGAAGTTGTCGTTCTGCTTTTGGGTTCCCACCTTGTCACCTTGTTTCCGTCCGTCTCCGTAGGTCGGAAATCCAACAACGCACCAAACACATCCCAAACAAAAACAACATTAATCGAAGACTCCACCAGGCCGGGGAAGAACGAATAGAGTCGCGGCGGAGGTGCCGGTCGCGTGGAACGCAGCAGTTTCTGCATGCGTGACCATACGATGCGGCAGTCCTCCTCGCCCCGATACCCCAGCTTGGCCCAGAAGAACCTGGCGCCCACGTTGGCCGGATCCTTGGTTGTCATGAATCTTCTCAGCGGCGGTGCCAGCAGCCAACCAAAGCTGCACGGATAATTGTGGAGGTCACAGTCGTGCTTCCCTCTCGTGTTTTTGCCACGGAGGCTCGGCATTTCGAGCCGATTCAGCCCGGCTGCAGCTTGTCACAAACAGCTGTGGACTTGCAGCCCGGTCGGGCTGCCGGTTGCACTCTCCCCGCGCTTTTGATGACGGCACCTTCGCTGCGGTACGCCGATCAGGCGACGGCCGTACCGGGTTCTTGAGAAACTTGGTGGGCATCTTGCAGCATGTTGATGTGGCCGGCCCCCCGCCATAGTCATAGCCCAACGAGTCGTTAGTGCCGCAGGGCAATGCCGGTTACGGAGCATGAGTTTGAGCTCCAAGCTCCAAGCGGAGGGGGCGATGACGACTTCGGAATCACTCACGCAAGGTCTTGTTAACAAAGGAAGCTAAACTATCAAGCGTTCACGCATGCTCACGCGGCTGGGCTGGGCTGGGCTGGGCTGGGCTGGGCTGGGCTGGGCTGGGCTGGTGCTGGTGCTGGTGCTGGTGCTGGTGCTGGTGCTGGTGCTGGTGCTGGTGCTGGTG